GATGATGCAAATGACGTGCACCCCCTCAGTGTTGACATGGTCATACACAAAGACAGCATAATCGGCTTCGCAACATAAGAACCCCAAATGGATGAGAACTGCGTGCAAGAGCTCATACCAATCGTATGCAGCTTGTTTCAGTCCGTAGAGCGAAGACAAGAGATGGCATACCAAGCTTGCCCCGTTCTCAAAGCCGGGTGGTTGGTGCATGTACACATCTTCATGCAGTTTTCCCCACAGGAAGGCACGCTTCGTGTCGAAACTGTCTACCTCCCAGTCGTGAGCTGCTGCGTGTGCGGAAAGGAGTTGGATGGAGGATGGTCGTGCGACAGGTGCAAATGTCTTGCCGAAATCAATGCCTGGTACCTGCAAGAATCCCTGCGCAACAAGATGGGCTTTGTGCACAGGCCCACCTTTCGCATCCTCCTTAAACTCAAGAACCCATCTACATCCTATTGCCCTGTGTCCCACCGGAAGCTCCACCAGTTCATACACGTTCATCTCCGACATTAAGTTGATCTCCTTGCGCATGGCATTGAGCCAATCATTAGCGTCCGAACGTTGCATTGCTTCATCGAAGGTGGAAGGAGGAATCTTCATGTTGTAGTCCAAGGTGAGAGGATTTCAGCGAGCATTGCTATGGATGGTGACACAAGCGAATTCCGTGGCGATGAGATTGGCAAGAACGCGGGGATAGCCAACTTCGTCCTCATTTTGGACAATGGCATCAGGATCAGCAGTCGTACCTTCTGGAGCATCAGGCAAAGTATTCACCCCCTCAAGAGGCACCCCCTGAATGCATGCTTGACGCAACTCATGTTGACGCGCTAAGTGTTCACGATCGGATGCCAACTGCTCTTGGAATATTTGACCACATGCCATGAGCAAGCGCACTCGTTCTGATCGACATGCCTCTGTGGGTAGGGATGCTGGGGTGGAAGACAATGTGGGAATTGAGGAAGTTGACAGAAGAACAGGAGTCAAGGGCGCAGGAGCCATTTCGTCATCGTCCGAATCATCCCCGTCAGTTGGGAAAGGACAACCAGAGAACGTTTTATCAAATATGATGTCCCTGGAGTTAAAGAAACTTCCGGTTGCCATATCACAACAGCGCCATGCACGCCCGTCTGGGGCATAACCCACAAATATAGCTTCGCGTGATCTTGGACCCAATTTCTCCTGGAGTTCAGAGGGTATCCGAGCGAAGCAGCGCGCACCAAAGACACAAATGTGCGAGAGGTCGGGTTTAGCGTTATGTAGCATTTTGTAGGGCATTTTACCTGCAGGTAAAGCGCGAGACTCCGTGCGATTGAATAAATATGCTGCTGTTAGCGCTGCTTCTCCCCAGAGATTACGCAGGAGCCGTGCGTAGTTTAACATTGCATACATCCTTCCCTCAATTGTGCGAAGCACACGTTCTGCTCATCCATTCTGTTGATGGGAATATGGCGCGGAGAGTTGCTGCGTGTAATTCAGCAGTAAACGCGTCATTGAGAAACTCTCCACCGTTATTGGAGTGAAAGGCGACAACATGCAGACCTGAACGAGTCTCCCACCTCGCACGAACAATCTCCCATGCCTCTAAAGCTTGGTCCTTGGTGGCCAGAAGCTGAAGTGCGAGAATTCCCGTGTGATCATCAAGGAAGATAATGAAGTATCGTTTGTGGTGAGGTGTGAGAACCGGAATGGGACCGCACAGGTCAGAATGAATGAGCTCTAGAAAACAGGAGGCGGGAGGAGACTGCGATGTGGGATGAGGCTGCCTAGGGTGCTTGCCAATGATACATGACTCACAGCGTGACATGGCACTGTGCGAGTCTAGGGTAACACCACGAGCAATGAGAGGAAGGCAATGGACTGATTCTCCTCCGGTATGACCCATGCGTGCATGCCAGATGTCATAGGTCAGCGGAACACATGCAAAAGCAGAGACTTCTGACGGTTCAGATACGAGAGGTGTTGACTCGGAAGGAGGGATGAACTCGAGATCGATATAAAAGAGACGCCCCAACATAGGAACGGAGCTGAGAGATTCTCCCTTGTACATAAGCTCACAACGAGCAGGCTCACCCCGAAAGTTGCATTCCCAACCTTTTGCTAACATCCACCCGACTGAGAGAAGGTTCAACATGGCTCCCGGCGCATGAAGACAGTTCGAGAACCAAACTCGATGTCGAGTACCCCCAATCTTAAGCCATGCGACACAATCACCGCAACCGGACATGTGAAGAGACCTGTGGTTGGCCGTTTTGATAACAATGGGATCCTGAGTAGAGTAAGTCCAGAACATGGCGCGGTCACTGATAAGAGTGCTGGTGGTGCCGGAGTCAAGAATGGTGGATAGTGCATGAGTGTGGGCAGAGACATCGTCAGGCAGCTCCTCGATGCCCGCACGCGATAGGTCATGTATGTGTGCGGCCAGTGCAGAAATAGCGGGTGGTGGATTAGATGATGCCGGTGAAGGAGTGGGAGGAGTGACTGATGTGACTGCAGCTGTCTCTTTCTTCTTCTTCTGCCAGGGTGCCTGTCCCGCCATTCCTCCACCTTCACGAAAACAATGTTCTTTGTCGTGATCCCCGCGTCCACATCCGGTCGTTAAGCAAAAGATTCCTTGAGGATTGTTCTTGTGCTTCCGCAATCCAGTGATAGAGTTGATGTTGGAAGCGGTGGAGGTGGACACAGAGTTGGCGTACTCAGATCTGGGCCCGGATGCAGCAGTGGGATGGGTGTTGATCATGCGTGAGGCCTCTGCAGTGATGTGTGTGGTGCAACTCTCGAACGTGAGAGCATTCGTTTGGAAGGAGGCTGAAATGGGATTCCTGCTGCTGAGTGCAGAACTAACGACAGTGGCAGAAAAACTATTGTGCATGCGTTGTTTGAGTTGCGTGCAGAACAGTTGCCAGGCGGGAGATGTAGGAAGCCCGGAAAGGAGATTAAACACAGCCTCTTCGTCAGAATAAGCAGCACTCATGCCAATCAGGCGATCACGGCAACTAATGTGCTGACTGACGTAGTTACTTGCGTCATGTGCATCTTTCATGCGAAGTGCCTGTATGTGCCTCCGAATGACAAATTGAGAGCTGACGTCGTTATGATGGAAGTGGTCTTTGAGAATTTTCCACGTGTCATGCGCTGTGATCGAAGCATTGCAGGGAATGAGAAGATGAATACTCAGTGCAAGCTTGCAGAGGATGATTGTCTTGGCCTTAGAGTCGTTGATGAGCCAGGCTCGTATAGCTGCCTTCTCGGCATCAGTAGGAGTTGCTGAAACGGCCGCTACAGGCAAGATCGAAGCTGTTCCAAGAATGTCACTTGGGTCTGCATTTTCGGTGACATGACACCAGAGGTCATCGTTCGTTAAGACAAGCTGCGCCTGCATCTCCCATGGAATGTAATTTTCTACTCCCGTCAACTCTGGTATGTGGTCGTACTTTCCCATCGTTGGGACAATGCACAGAGTGAATTCGAGCAAGGAAAAGAAGATTTGAGTTGTTCCAACGTGAGGGATTCTGTATCTTTCCAGTTTCTGTGTCATTTAAGACACAGGGCTCATAACCTGTTAGAAAGTAGCACACTCAGCATTGATAAGCAACAACTAGATTCACAATTAATGTACCTGTTAGAAAGTAGCGCACTAGGATCAAGTACAAGGCTCAGAGCAAGATAAACAATACGCGTACCTCAGCGTTGATAAGCAATAACTGAGGGACGCAAACAACAACAAGACGAGATACTTGTAGGATACGGAAAGACAGTGCTCGAATGTCAAGAAGAAGGTAACCATACGATGCCAAGAATGAAGCATGTGATACGACGAAGTGGTGAGGTTGCCCAATAGCCAAATGCAACATTAATCTGTCCAAATGCAGAGGACGACTTATCTCTTCAACAAGCATGGCTCTTGCTCGAACGAGGATTGACACACTCACAGCCTGCAAAGGGTGGGCAACAACTTGGATCAGCATGGCTCTTGCTCAAACAAGGATCGACACACTCACATACTGCAAACAGTGGCAACGACTTGGATCAGCATGGCTCTTGCTCAAACGAGGATCGACACACTCACAGCCTGCGAACAGTGGGCAACGACTTGGATCAGCATGGCTCTTGCTCAAACGAGGATCAACACACTCACAAACTGCAAATGGTGGGCAACGACTTGGATCAGCATGGCTCTTGCTCGAACGAGGATCAATTCACATACTGCCTATAAGAAATGCACAACATAAATTAGAGTGACCTTCAAACTTTCCGATAATCTTACCAAAATATGTGGAAACCAGGCACCTGATGCCGCTACCATGTTTTCATAATCCTCGGATGTCGGTGTCTCAGCAAAGTCCAGACGTTTCATGAGTGATCTGGGCAATATCAGTCGAGGCAGGTAATGAGATCATGGGTAGTTACTTCTCAACTGCATATTTCATGCAGATCTCCAAGTTGGTCTTCTGAGTCGAGACGAATAATTGCTGAAGCACTTCATTATCCAGGGTTCCCGCCGTTTGTTCGATAAGTGGCCCGCAATCTGCATCGTCGCTGTCCATGTCTAATAAATCAGCGTCAAGATGTATCAGACTCATAAGTCGACGATCAACAGCTTACTAGGGAGGCATATGTGGCATTTCGGAGGGTGTCGAATCTCCTTGGAGTGGTATAGAAACTTCAGTTGTGGCCCAATCGCAAATGACTCTTCTGCATGCTTCGGCGCTTGTTCTGCAGCGTCCTTCATCGATGTTCCCTTCGATTTCAGCTGGGCGTATGCTTCGTCATAGAGTGCATCAAATTTTGTGAACAATACCATTACTGGAACTGAGGAATGTGATTGTGCCCATCAGTCAAATATCAACGACGGTCGAATGCGAAAGCTTACTGCTTCCACTATCGCATTGAGAAAAAATTTTGATTTCCCCTTGAGTGAACGACCTACAAGCCTCGTCCATTGGGATGCAATACCTATGCTAAACTGTGAGGTCTCCCGCGTCGCGATTGATCAGCTGCAATTACCAGATAGCGTGGAGTTGATTTGTTAATCTGGCTTCCTTAGAACGGTCTGCGATGAATGTCTTGACGATGTTGAATTCAGATTCGCCGCCTGCTTCAAACCCGCGAGAATCGTGAAAGATAAAACCTGGATTGCTCTGAAACACCATTTCATTCTCGATGTTGTGCAATCCGCGCTGAGAATGTGTCAGTTCAGGTTACCATTTACTGAAAGTACACGACACCTCTCTGGAAGCCTTCAAGACTGTGTCATCAATCTGAAGTTCATCGCTTAGCCGTCACTGCCATTCTCCTACTAGCATCGTGATACCTACCTTGTTCCCAGCGCTGTTATATATTTCTGGATTCTCTCGTGTGTTACAGACTCTCTGTAAGATGGTAGTTTTTCCTGCATTGGCTCTTCCTATTACGAGGATTCGAAAGCGACCGATTTTTTCTCTTATCTGTGAAGGATCCATGGGAGAAGGTAAATGTGGCGGATATGAGGAAGCGTTGGCGTAGCCTTTTAATCATTGCAGTGTGCGAACTCGGTAGATTCTGCCCGAGTTGAAAATGATCTAGATTCAGTGGGCAATGGGTATAGCAACGCATGCCACATGAGGCATACACGAGGAGTCAGATGTCGAAGTCATTTTGATCATTCGGAAGTGGCGGAATATCTGTGTCGGGTCAGAAGGATCCGTAAGAGTGGGCAAGGCGAAGGCCGTCTCAAGTTATACTAGGCGCCTGAGTACTGCCATCGATCGAGGTAATCAGTAAGATTGCGAGTCATTGGCGCAAACGTGAATGTATTAGAACATGGTAGGAACGTAAGCTTTGGTGAGCACTGGGAACACAGGAAGCTACCCTAAACTAAGTTATTTACAATGATGTTGTATGTATCCCCCTTAGGAATCATGAACGCATTATCTTGATTTCCTCAAGTTTGATTCGTTTCTATCATGCACGATAATTTATATTTGACAATACAATGAATGTAAATAAAATAAGATCACATACAGTATTGGTGACTGATGAATACAGTGAAAAAAAAATGAACTGGCCCGAAAAAGACGGTCGCTCAAAAGCCAACACGCTTCATTTAACAATAAAAAATTCGGAGCCTTGGGGAGAAGGATAACGTCGGTAAACATCAATTTCATTCCAGAAAACCGGAAGATATGGAAAACTGTTCTTGGGTCAAGAGAGTCAAAAAAAAATTGGCAAGGGCCCTTGGAAGGGTGATATACTAAAAGAGCCAGACGAGCGCGAGTAGCGTCATAGTAATCATAAACTGGATGAATGGAAAGATAAACTGCAGTGACTCCAGAAGTTTTATGAACCATGTAGGCATGGATGCCGGTATCGCGCGTAGACGTTGAACCTTATACTTGGGGAGGCGACGAGGGCCAAAAAGAGGCGGGTGCCTCAGAGTGAGCGTGTGCTGGCGCATCAGGATCTTGCCCAAAACAATGAGGAATGCGACACAGAAACTCAGTGAGCTGCCGACAAAGAAGAGTCCGCACGAGAGCTTATAACGTAGCGAAGGCGTTTGGGAATCGTGCGTAGGGACACCATCGTTGACAGGGGAATCTAGTGGTGACGCGTTGAACCAAATTGACCCGGTTAGCAAAGCCTGGAGTTGATGAATAGAACCATGCATGCATCAGGGGATGCAACAATACTGCTGACGATGTAAACTCACTGAGTACAGTGTCCAGTTGAGACTGACGATAAGTGTCTCAAGAACAGCTTCGTTGGGATGTAATTCCTCTTCCGATTCTGGAATCAGTCCCTCGACCTTTTCCAAGTCTGGGAGCTGCTGCTTTTCCATGTCGCAAGATTCATGAGAAGAATTACACTTGAGAGCACTTCGAGTGGGGAAATCTTCAGAACGATACAGCTGAAACAAACGGACAATGGGCTTGCCTGTCATTCATTTCCGTAAGAAGGTGTTACGGAAAATGCTCTCTGCGACGTAGATGGCGTTATATGTCTGCTTGACTGAAGAAAAGTAAAGTACAGGGTGCTGAGCGCTGAGCAACCTGCAGTGTGACCTATTATGCTGAGCGCACCAAACACAGCTTAACACAGCTTGTGTTAGTAATACCGCAAACCTACTGTAGTTCTAGTACATATAAGTATATAAGCTTCCCAAATAAGTACTTCTTATGAACCTTCCGAAAATACTCCGACACAGCAATACCCAGTGTAGTATTTTACACAGAATCAACAAGGAGCTCCCGGGTTGAGTTTTCGCATATACAGGAATCCTGTGGTATGTGCAGAAACACGTCGTGATCTATATGCAAATACTGAAAATCACCGCATCTCAGTCCAACTTTCTTACCATCCACACTGACAACGACAACAACGATGCTTGACGATCACAGTGTTATTGTCAACAGTGACCAGTCCTCCAGGCACAGCGGAGACGAATGTTGTGCGAGAAGTTGGAGAGTTTAGTGCTGTTCATGATCGGCCAAGGGAGGGACGAAACTGAACAGCAACTGGTATGGTATGGTCTTTTTCTACGCATATACATCATTTTATTCTTAGTTTATAGGATGGATATACTCGATAATCGGCCTCATTCGACGGGGGCCATTTACTATCCTATCAAGGACTTCGATCCCTAGGATCCAATGTAGTGCACAAACCTGTGCCGTACAACCGCCTGAAGATAGTAAAGGTGAGAGACCGTTTGTTTTCAAACTCGATGCTAACCAGTAATGTTCTATCAGAGTACCCCTTGAGACTCGCCCCAACATGGTATGGCAACGTACCGTGCTGTTTAGTTTTTGTCAACGCTCATCATGATGAGAATTCACTAGCACTGTCGACGTTCGAGCGTATCAACTGACAAGTACTCATAGACATGCTCGTGCTGTGGAATATAATGGTGCATACCAACACCTAGATCGCCCGGGTCCCTGATGGACCACTCTGACAAGTTATCCGGCGGTTTGCCTGTACTAGAAGAGAAGCCTCACTCAGGAGCATTGCTCGCCTGGACAGCCTTTCGATCGTCCATTTTTGCCAGCGCAGCAGCGCGTCAGAGAATACAAGAGGATCGCGTCGGACCATAAAATCATTGCACGAGTCAAAGACATAACTTTCGCTGACACATGGACGTCGGAAGCGTAGAGATACGATAATAGGTTCATGCTGCTGCACGAAACGAGCCGGTTTAGTCGAATCATCGCTCGCAAGTACTGCGTCGTGAACGGCCCTCAATTGGTGCATTTACTAAATAGAGCATGCTCATTGCTGGCGCAGGTTGGTCACGGGTCTAAATTTATTCGTGTACCATATCTCATCGACCAAATTCTTGTTTATTCCCGGTTGTTCTTTGATTATCATATACATGCATGTCGCATCCGATCGGATTCTTTGCTGATATTTCTGCCGTGGTTAGTATCAATGATTCGTGTTCTGATTCTTCCGATTCGTCGTATCGTTATCTTTCCTGTAACATTGTGTATGTAATAGAATACTGAATATGAGTATACATGAAAGCTATAACAGACACGGTCTTTCAAGACGAAATGCGATGCCCCAAAGTACAAACTGCACACATGATACACATAGCTTATCGGTACAGATGTGATGCAGCATCTGTTTTCGCTTTTTTTGATGGCGCAATCGTGGGGACAGCCTGACCACGAATACCAGTATCAGGGCCGCCGTCAGGCTCAATGGCCCGTTTGCGCTTTTCTCCGCTTTGTTCCTCAGACGCTGCGGCGGGCTGGCTTTTCTCGCCACTGCGACCTCCGCCACGACCTCCACCACGACCACCGCCTCTGCCACCACGGCCTCCTCTACCCCGACCCCCGCGTCCGCCTCCACGTCCGCCCCGTGACGAACCGCCTTTTTCCTGAGAACGCGAGAGAATTGAACGCGCAGCGAAGTTAGCACGATCAATTTGGAATTGTTTCTCTTCTTCCTCTGCGACACGATAACAGGAGTAAGGCACAGATCGTATGCAATACAGAGAGGGTGACAGTACCTTCTGGTATAGACCACTGGACTTCGTTAGAGTTCACGGTCTTCAGGTTGGTCTTCACGTAATCGATCTCATCTTCCGTCATGGCTTTGTCGAATCCGACGAGACCAAAGTCATCTCCTTTTGAGAATTGGATGTATGGTACCCGAGCGAAGCGCTCTCTCAAAGGAGTCTATCGGTCCAAAAAGTCAGAACCTCAACAGACGAACTGAAAGCCACCAAATTACCTTCATCTCCGTAAAGTTAGCATCACCACCACAGCCCGTGAACTTCATTGTTGCGCCCTTGATATATGGCACATCTTCACTCTTCACGCTGCCTCCATCTTCCTCCTGCACACGAATTTTAGTCCCCATGAACTCGAGCCAGACTTCGGGGTTGGGCTTGTCTTTGCCCCTTTGCCCCTTCCCCTTCTTCTCGTTTTGCATCTCCTGGAACGCATTGAACCCCTTCCGGCTTGCGATGTTGTCTTTGCGCATCTCGGCGGTCTTGCCAGTAAGACCCTTTTCTTTGATTTTCATATCGCAGTAGGCCTCCCTAGAGTCCATTAGAGAGGGAAAACTCAGAAAGAGAAACGTCATACTTGGACATAATCAGCAGTTCCTTGCCATCCCAAGATGGTTTAGGATCGGCATTTAGGAATGCTTCCGCGGATTTCATTTCTGCAAATTCGACGAAGACTGATCCCTGCGAAAATCTGAGCACCTATGTTTTGTGTTGATTGAATCCACGAAACATACCTTGAACTGCTTGTTCCCGTCTATACGACGCATCCTGACAGCATTCGTTTCTCCATACTGGTCGAAAAACTTTTCCAGCTTCTTTTGAAGATCGGAAGTCTCATCCCCAAACCCTTTCTACAGCGCATGCATGAGCAGATTTGTCGATGCTTCGATGATCTAGCTTACCGCGTAGACACTCCTCTCAAATTGACCCTTGGGTGGTTGAACCTCAGTGCGACGCCTCGCATTTTCCCCAGCTTCATCCACTTCCAGTTCCTCGCTTGTCCGTAAGGCCTTCACTATCCACTCATGGCCCTTCGACGCATACTCTCGCATGCGCTTGAACGAGGAGACGGTTTTGATGGGTACCCAATGTTCCGCATTCGCGGTGTGGAGGCTCCACATGAACCTGAATCATATCAGCCATGCACGCGGTGCATGATGGTCATGCGCACTTATCGAATGGCAGGTTCGAGTCTGCAAAGTAGAACTCGACTATGATATCGATAGTCATCCATCTGCAGAAAGATGATAGCAGAAAAAACACATACTCTGCTTGCGAGCATCCTGCAGCTTCTCATCTTCATCTCCTTCGTGTATCGCCGCAGCCTCTCCAGCTGGCCGTTTTTCCTCAGTAGAGGCTGTTACAGGTTCCGTAGACATGGGTAATAAGCAACAAATAAATCAAGATAACAGCAATAGAGGGTTGAACGTTATAAACAGTTCGGACAGAGATGAGTCGAGTTTCAACAAAGCGACTCGCTCGAAGTTGAAATATCGACTACTGAGTGTTGACTTCAGCGTCAACGCTGGCAAATAAGCACGATATATATGTGGCTGTACAATTGGAAATTGAGATTAGTAGGAGTAAATCAGAAAATAAAATCGGAGATTAGATAAGGTGGCTCACTACTCATCCCGGCAAAACTTCACCTATCATCGGTTCATCTCCGAACCTCGGAAACCAAGTGGCTCTATGCCATATGTGCAACAGCCCGCATAGAAGTCTGTCTCGTCCACTCGGTCAGAATTAACGGAAAATAATAATAACCTTTGTTGCTTCGACATTGCTGTCACCTTCCAGGACGTTGCCGCTTGGTTTGGAGATCCTAGTCTGCCCAGCTATATCCTCATGAGGTGATTCTCTAGTACAACTAAGAATGTCCCACCAACGGAATAGAACGACAATCTCGATTCCGCCCGCATGGCAGCAGCTCTGCCAGCTCATATGTTTGTTTTCTATATTTTTCGCTTGCTTGACTATGACCACTCTCTTTACTGCTCTGAGATGCGCAGGACCATCTCTTTTATGGGGGGCACACGTATGTTCAGGCCCATAACCAATCACGACATGGGCATCATATAAGTTATACTCGAACCGAGGGTACTTGGATAGGTTGATCCCGGGTCAAGACTCAAGCTCAAGGCTCACTCGCTGCATTTCCGAAAATACAATAACACACGCCTGCAGACGAGCCGCGGCGGCGTAGAGCCTATTCCCATTACGACGACAGTCATTCTACGATTGCGCCCACATCCTACAAGATCACCATCACACAAGACGACGTTGAAGCTGTGAAGATCAGTCAACGTCCTGCAGATCCCATTGCGTATGAGTTGGTGCCACCTGTTGGAGAGCCCGCTTAGCTGAAACAGGAAAGGATGAAATCTCACCGTTACCAGGTTGCTATGAGGCGTCTGTAGACTGTAGCTCTGCAATAATGAATGAATTGATCGATGTATGAGGCGAGATTGACAAATATATCGGAGGAGAGGAAGTGAGTTGAAATCATAGCAGTGATGTGAATAACCTGGTTAGATCAACAAAAAGACTCGTGGCGACTCTGGCGAGTACCGAGGTAACCATTGACATCACCGAAATTCCCCAACTCGGATAAGGGCTGATAATGACTGACCAGGATGCACAAGGTCGCAAAAGGTACACCAGGTGTATCAGTGTGCGGAAGGCTGGGGAAACAACTTATAAGATCTGGTTGAGAAACTCAATTGAAGATAAGACGGCGGAGGTTGGGTAAGTAACTCGTACCTTAGCGCAGATTTTGAGCTTAGAAGCATTGATATGCCAATACTACTTATACGTTCTGATCTGGTGATGAATTCTGATAAGACCATTTCATTTCGGTATTGCATTACATGGTATGAGCAGAAAGTAAAAGTACATCTAAGAGCGGAACATGCACCAAAGCTTCTCTAAGAGCAGACACACGCCAAAGCTTCTGAAGGAGACTCAGTATGACAACCACAACAAGAGGATGATTAGACAGCAGCTTGAATGCGAACTGCAAATGAGAAGTGGGACGACGACAAGAGCGAAACATGCAACAAGTGGACAGCGGCTTGAATGTTGCAAATGAG